AGAATCATTAGAACTCAATCCCCTCAATTCTGAATCTGCTGTTGCACCTGCTGGTTCTCTTACTGATCACTTCTTCTCGTCTTCACCTTTTGTCTCTCAACATCATTCTTCTGTTACAACACTCAATGTTCATCGCATGACTACTCGATCCAAAAATGGAATTGTCAAATCCAGAATAAATCCTACACTCCTACTTTCTAGTGCTGAACCAAAATCAGTGAAAATTGCTCTCACTGATCCTAACCGGCTTGCTGCTATGCAAGCTGATATTCAAGCTTTACATGCAAATAATACATGGCAGCTGGTTGACTTACCCTCGGGCAGGAAACCTATTAGATGCAGGTGGGTGTTTCGAGTCAAAGAAAATCCTGATGGCTCAATTAATAAATACAAGGCCAGACTTGTTGCTAAGGGGTTTCATCAACAACCTGGTCTTGATTTCTCTGAAACTTTTTCTCCTGTAGTTAAGCCTGTTACCATTCGGGTTGTTCTTTCTCTTGCTGTTTCCTATAACTGGTCTATTCGACAACTGGATATTAATAATGCGTTTCTTAATGGAATGCTTGAGGAAGACATTTATATGTCTCAACCTCCTGGCTTTGTTAAACCTGGGACTAAACATCTGGTTTGCAAATTGCAAAAAGCTCTTTATGGTCTGAAACAGGCCCCTCGTGCTTGGTTTGAAAGATTAACCTCTGTCCTACTCATGCTTGGATTCAGTAAAAGCAAATGTGATCCTAGTCTGTTCATCCTATCTGATTCAACAGTCATTGTTTACATGCTTGTTTATGTGGATGATATTATTCTTACTGGTAATTCTCCTTCCTTATTGCAAAAAATAATTGATCAGCTCCATAAGCATTTTTCTCTTAAAGATCTTGGTACCCTGGATTATTTCTTGGGTATTGAGGTTAAATTTCTTTCTCAAGGAAGTCTATTTCTATCTCAAGGCAAATACATCACTGATCTGCTTACAAGAGTTAAAATGGATGACTCTAGAGGGATATCTACTCCTATGGTTGGAGGTCAACAGCTTGCTAAGGAAGGTACATTGTTTGATGATCCAACCTTATACAGATCCGCTGTTGGTGCTTTGCAATATGCTACAATCACTCGGCCAGAAATTGCTTTTAGTGTCAATAAAGTGAGTCAGTTTATGTGTGCTCCAATGGAGGAACACTGGAAAGCTGTTAAAAGAATAATTAGGTATCTTAAAGGGACTATTGGACATGGGATACTTTTCACTCCTACCACTTCTACTACCTTTTTTAATCTTACTGCCTTTACTGATGGGCGTCTGATCCTAATGACCGACGATCTACTTCAGCTGCCTGCATCTATCTCGGTCCTAATCTAGTGTCTTGGTGGTCCAAGAAGCAGTTGCTTGTTGCCAGGTCAAGTACTGAAGCAGAATACAGAGCTTTAGCTAAAGCTGTTACAGAGGTTTTATGGATTCAGTCTCTCCTAAAGGAATTAAAAGTCAAAATAAATACTCCTACTGTGCTCTGTGACAATCAGAGTACAGTTGCTTTATCTCACAATCCTGTGCTGCACTCAAGATCCAAACATATGGAACTAGACATCTTTTTTGTTCGAGAAAAGGTACTAAGTAAAACTCTGGTTGTTTCACATATACCTGCTCAACATCAATATGCAGACGTTCTGACAAAGGCTCTATCATCAAGAAGATTTTTGTTTCTCCGTTCCAAGCTCAATGTGGTCAACCCATCTGTTGTGTTTCATCCTCCTTGAGCTTGTGGGGGGTGTATTAGAGAATAAATAATAAATACTTTTATTAGTTGTATTGAGTTAGTTTTTCTATTTTAGGCTTTGTTATTCTCTTTGTTGTAATTCTCTATATATGTAACCATACCGCACAATGTGCAGTTTATCTTTTCAATAATATTCACTTCTAAAATTCTGTTTCTCCTATATTCTGTTTCTCCTACAAATACATGTTTTCATTTTTCTCTTCTTCTCCCCTACTATTAAGTCTCCCATGTCATGTGTTTGGTAAGTTGCATTTGTTCATTCTCACAGTCTTCATCGTGGCAAGTTAGACCTAAGAATCGTCAAATGTATCTTTATTGATTATCCCTCTAATAAAAAGGGGTACAAGTGTTATTACTCTTAGAGTCGTCGTTTTTTTGTTTAAGAGGATATCACATTTCATGAAACTGAACCCTTCTTTGCCAACCCTCAACTTCAAGGGAAGAGTATTCTAGAAGTTGAATTTGTATTTGGATCGGACATCTTCCTTCCTTGCAGGATGTCCAAGATACTAATCTTGAAGAAGCACAAGATCACAATGATGCAAAAGAAGAATATCAATTCTTTGAAAAGAAATATGAAAGGTGAAAGAAACCCACTTTGCTCCCACAACAAGTTGAATTGTTAGAACCAAAGATAAATGTCCCTAAGGATGATAATGATGATGAGAAAGTTACAAATGATATGCCTATTGCCTTGAGGAAAGGGAAGAGATCATGTGTCAGGTATCTTATTTCTCAATTCATCAAAGCTTTATTGCAACCATTGATGCAATGTGTCAGTTCAAGAAGCTTTGATAGATAGAAATTGGGTTAGAGCCATGAATGAGGAGATTGAGGCATTGGAGAGAAACTCAATTGGGAGATTGTTGATAAACCCAAAGACAAGAAAGTTGTAGGGTTCAGATGAATATACACAATTAAGTGTGAATCTGATGGACATTAGATAGAAACAACACAAGGCAAGATTGGCGGTCAAGAGGTTCACACAAACCTATAGCATTGACTATGAGGAGATATTTTCCCCCATAGCAAAAATGAATACAGTAAGAATCATTCTCTCTCTAGCCACCCACTTTGGTTGGAATCTACAACTATTTCGTGTTAAGAATGCCTTCTTACATGGAAACCTGAAAGAGGCAGTCTACATGGAGATTCCCCTAGGATTTGAATATCATGTTGAAAAGTTGGAAAAGGCATTGTATGGCCTCAGACAATCTCCTCGAGCATGGTTTGAAAGATTTACTCAAGGCATGAAGTCCTTGGGATATAAACAGAATCAAGGTGATCATACTTTAATTGTAAAACATTCTCCTGATGACAAACTCTCCCTTCTCCTAATGTATGTAGATGATATGATTGTTGCAAGGGATGATAAGGTGGAGAAACTAATTCTAAAAGAGAAATTGGCAACTCATTTTGAAATGAAGAAGTTGGGAAAATTTAAGTATTTCCTCGGGATAGAGGTTGCATACTCCAAAAAAGGGATCTTTATTTTTCAAAGGAAATATGTTCTTGATCTTTTGAAGGAGACAAGAAAAATGGGGTGCAAGACCACATGGGTGCCCATTAAGCAAAATCACAAGATTGGAAATGAAGAAAGTTCACATGTATAAAAGTCTCAATACCATAGATTAGTACGGAAGTTGATATATCTATCACACATAGGGATGGCAACAAGGTGGGTTCGGGTCAAGGCAACTTTTGCTCTCCCCATCCTCACCCCAATAAAAGGCAGGGGCGAGTCCGAGTTCAAGTTTTATAGAGATGGGATTATATTTTTAAAATCCATCTCCATATGCATCGGGTTTTGTCGGGTTCAAATAAACTCATAGGGACTCGTTACATTTTTTTTATAATTTTAATTTACTTATACATTTTAAATAAATTAAAGTATAAGTTAATAATTATATTATAACAAATAATATATAAACAAAAAATAAAAAATTATAAATAGAAAATTTAAGAATTAAATTACATTTTTAATTAAAACAATTTTAAATTAGTTACTTAATTATTGTTATAATTTTAATTATTTAATTATTAAAATAATTAATTGTATTTTTAATATTTATAAAAATTAAAAACTTAACTTTAATTTATATATATATATATATATATATTGTTGTAAAAATATGTAAAAAAAGTAAAAGAAATGATGCAGGGCGAGTATGAGGGTGAAGGGTTACATATCCAAACCTAATGTCTCAAGTCGTAGAAAACCCATACCCGATCAAAATGAGTTTTCCTCATCAAAATTGAGTCAAGGTCAAACAGTACCCACGGATGCGGGTTTAGTTGGCATGCCTAATCACACACTAGACCTAATATTGCTTATGCAGTTAGTGTGGTTGGCCAATTTATGCATGACTTCCATGACAGACACTTTCACGCAGTCGAGAGGATTCTCCGATATCTAAAGGCAAGACCAAGGATGGGATTATTATTTAAAAGAGAAGGTCCATTGTCCATGGAGATATACATTGATGTTGATGCAAGGTTCGTCACAAATAGAAGATCCACTTCCAGTTATTGCATGTTTCTTGGTGGGAATCTAGTAACATGGAGAAGCAAGTAAAATGTAGTAGCTAGATCTAGTGCAGAAGCTGAGTTGAAGCTATGGCACATGGCATATGTAAAGAATTATAATTTATGAATGAAAATTATTCTTGATGACCTTAAAGTTAAATACGGGTCCAATGAAGTTGTTTTGTGATAACAATTCGGCTACCAACATTGTTCATAACCCAGTTCAGCATGATAGAATGAAACACAAAGATTGATAAACACTCCATCAAAGAGAAGTTGGATGGTGGCCTTATAGTTACAACTCATATACTTACATGAGTTCAAGTAGTAGATGTCTTCATAAAGGGACTTCCTAGTGCTAGATTCCAAAATCTTATTGGCAAGTTGGCCATGATTAATATTCATTTACCATCTTAAGGGGGAGTGTTGTAAATATCATAGATACTTAGAAGATCTAGAATATCTTTAAATATCTCTAGATATTTGTTTTCGTATATTTTTATTATTTTGTTTCCCCATTTCTTTATAATTGTTATTTCATTATTTAAGCATAGTCATTTACTCTATAAATAGGGATATTAGAAAATGTACAAAATACACAATTAATATATAGTTTCTTTTTTCAACTCGATACTTATTTTTATATACAACACTTCATAGTGATCATATACAGATAATCTACAAAGTTGTGAAACCTCCTACCTTAGGTGATCCAGCTGTAGATGCTTTCTGAGTTAATCTATCAAACAATTTCTCATTTTCTTCATGCAACCTCTGCAAACCATCAAATATGAAATTGAGCCCCACACAGGAACAATATAAAATTATAGTACTAATAGTAGGCATATCAAAATCCAATACAGCTAAAGAATTCAACATAATAAATATTCAGAACTTACAGCATGACAACCTTTTAACTGAGTATATCTTCTACAAACTAGAAGGTCATCAGAAGATGCAAAATTAAAATTTTAAGCTCTGGTTTCTTGGCTGCATGTTTGGCTTTTATCTTTTTTCCCCTTTCATCAAATATATTAACAATGGCACCATACTAACTATATCCCCATTTCAGTTTTATACTTAATTGTTGCTTTCAAACATGATGGTCCACCCCAACCATGTTCCTGTATGTATACCATTTTGCATATAAGATATACAAAATGCTATGGCCAGTAGTGGTTTTTAGGAAAAATTTTGCTATATAAAAACTACAAAGAAGACAAAAAGCATTAACCATATATTAATAATTAAAAGACTACAACAATCAGACACAATTATCAAGAATAACAGACCTCAATCAGAGCATCACGTTTCTTGAGTTCTTCTTCTAGTTTTTTGGTTACTGCAGAAGAGTCAGTGCCATCTCCAGTTGCTCTGGAATTGGATAGGGCAGAAGACTCTGGCTCTGTGGCCCTAGATTTAGTAGCTTCATTGAGTTGAGTTTCAAGGGTTCTAATTTTAGCCTGTATCAAAGAGGAAAAGCAGATACACGTGAATTATCTGGAGTGTGAAGAATGATAACATACATCATTACATCTAGGACTAAGGATTAACATACTCTATTTGTATTTAAATCAGAAAATTCATTGATAGTGTTCAAGCTACTCAATGATGAGACAAATCATTAAACAGTGCAGGGACCCAAATTATGACAAAGTGCTGTTGCTTCAGCTTTGTGCTGGAAATGTCACCAGTACACATAAATTTGATAATCGATAATATACAGCCTGCGGTAGCATACAATAGAAACAACTGCACAGGCAGCATTGAATTGGGTGTATGAAGTTCAAAACTTGGCAGGAAGAAAGTGAGAGAACAAAAGGTAATAAGAATTTATGGTTAAGAAGCAATTGCAAATAATTTAAGGCTCAATTATAATTTATAAATACATGTTAGATTAAGCATCCCAGCAAACAAAACTGATTAAAATTCACTACTTAGAAAAGTTATATGTTAGATCACTCTAACTTTTATCAAGAAACTGTAGTTGTTAAAGTACTTAGAAATTGGACTTATAAACCATTGAAGAAGTTTCTTATGAATTAGTAATTTAAACTATCATAAGATAGTACCAACCTGTAAACTTTGGATGGTTGAATCTTCTTGTTGTATCTGCAATTTTTGATCTTGCTCTAACTGTAAAAGTTGAGCAACTTGATTTCTAAGTTGAGTATTTTGTTCTTTCTCTATCTTATGTTTATCTGACAGCAAAACATGCTCCGACTGCAACAAATAAAAGCAATAATGTAATTCATTAAAAAGGCAGATGCCTTTATATTCAAAGATATCAACCAAGTGCTGATAGCATGGTATGAATGTCAGCGGGCTTTATACATTCAAGTTGGGATAAGAAGAACGAAAACAGTCAAATTTATCATTATATTTTGAAGGAACAGAACTTAACACAAGTATGTAAAACATTTGACAGAATACCCACCTAAGCAAAACCTAAATCAAAATAATATCAGAAAATGCACAATGGTGAATTTGATAGAATACTTGATTGTGATTATGCAGTCAAGAAACTGATTTAAAATTATAAATCTTGTAATAATAAATGTTCTTCTAACATGTTGCAGCACAAAAATAATGTCGAATTGCTCAACGAATTAACATAACCCAAGCATGCCATATTTTGAAAACATAAACGTCTAGCCACCAAATAACCAGTCACTGCATAGAACTGGAAAACTATGCCAAGATGATTCAAATGCAAACCTTTAAATCAGTCTGCAATGCAGAAGAAACTTTCCATGCCTTCTGCACTTCATTGAAGAGTAGAACACATTGATCATTTGCATCTTTTAGCGCTTTCTTGAGTTCCAGACCCTCTTGCTTTAGATCATGGATTTCTTTTTCTTTCTCATATAGCTCCTTTCGTGCATCGTTTGCCTTTAAAAAATGATAAATAAAATATATGATATAAATAGAAAATTTGTAACCATTAACTCCTAGTTTGCACTCAACATCATTCTATCCACATACAATCTATCAGATGCAGTATGTAATAATGATTTTAAAAATATTCCAAAACAAATTCACACCTATGAGTAAACAGGATCAAAAGAAGAAATGGGAATGAGAACTTACAACATCTCTCCACTTTTTAATTGTGTCTCGGTTTCCAAGGCTTAATATAGAATTTCGAGCTCTGGAAGAGAAATTGAGAGATGACAATGTCTCGGATAAATTTGAAATACTTGGACAAACATTCACAATCATCAAAGTTTTTGAACTCCCACCTACAAACATTAAAGAACACTAACTGTAAAAATTAGATGAGGTGCCTGAAATCAATCAGAAAGACCCAGGAAAGTTAGTTTTGCGGGCAATACAGAATACAAATTTAGTGTCATGTGTGATAACCTTTTGTTGTCAAATAGAGTTTCTTTTATATTTTGAGAAGAATTTCATTACAACAATACAGAATATGAAAGGAAAGGATGATAATCCTCATTCAAATAAAAAGAAAATAACAGGGAACAAAAGCCATCAATGTAACAAAGCCACCCAAACCCTCAACCAAAAAAAAATAGGCAAAGAATACAGGGGCAATAATATTATCTAGGAAATTCATGGAGAAGCCCACTGCTCTTCCCAATTTTACAAGTAGAAAGAGGTTCCATGCCCATTATCACCTTATAATTAGCGATCTTCTCCCTTTCTGATATTGAAGGATACCTTTTCATTAGCTCAAGTACAATTTCCTTATATCTTTAATAAACTGTTTTATTTGTCAGGGAGAGAAAAATAATAATTGTTTTCTCTTTCAAAGAGGGCAATTACAGAAAGGAGCTGTCCAAAATTTTGGCAACAGAACCCAATTATAATCAGGAAACACGGACAAGGGTCCTCTTAAGCATTGGTATCATATGAGGGACTAATTGGAATAAATATGTAATATAGATAAACAGAACAGTTATAGAAACAGAAGAATGCAGATGCACATATTTCCAAATTAGCAACAAGACAACCAGACAATAAAATGAAGTCAATCAGACAACAGCTTCATGAGAACACAATCTGGATTATTATTAATACAATTTCATCAAAATCAATGATGAATTATAGGAATAGGCACAGTATTTAAAGTATTTGATATGATACAACACTAACATCAATGTTGAATTAAAAAGGGGAGATTTAGGGAACAGAATCATTTTGCAGAGAATTTAGAGAATGAAAAAGCTTTTATTCTTGTAGAACGTAGTAGAGGTTCTGCATGTTATCCATATATATGGACTCTAGATAGACATAGTGGAGACTACTCCCTAGAATTATAATATGTGATGCAACTTCCTAAACACTAATACCCATGAACATTAAATTCATTGTAGCATGTGATACATGAACCACACACACTACTAAGTTTGTTGCAAATAAAAACTCTTTTTATTTAAGTTAGCTTACTAAACTTTAAGTTTGTTGCAAATAAAAACTCTTTTTATTTAAGTTAGCTTACTAAACTTTAAGTTTGTTGCAAATAAAAACTCATTATTTAAGCAAAAGAAATATAAAATAGAAAGTCATGAAGTGTGAAAAGACACCAGACAAGATCTGTCCAACCAAAGTATTAAACAAAAAGAAAGTAATCACGTATCCAGATTAAGGGCCACAAGGAGAGTCAGAAGGCAAAACTGTTGGTTGGAAAACTAAAATAGGTCCAACACTACACTAGAAAGGTTCAAGCAGTGACAGCTACACTGCACACTAACTCACCAGAGAGACATAGATCTGCCAGACTTGCAGTCATATGAATAGACCTCCACAATTAAGACAGCTATAAACGAGGAAAAAACCATAATAGAGGAAGCAATGGAACCAGCAATGTAACTGGTGAATTAAAGCAGACCTGAAATAAGCCAGGCAGTGGAATTAACTTGCTGGATCTGGGACACCAGAAAATTTTGCAGCAGCAGCAAACAGTGACAATGGGGACTTGAAATGTGACTGAGTGCACTGGAAGAGCCAACAGTCCAACACAGCAGAGGAGAAAAGAAACTAGTGATGTCATAGACTCATGGCAGAGACAAAAAAGAAAAGCCACTAAAATGGAAAACTTGGGAGAAAGAGAATGGCCAGAATTTGTGATTCAAAGTGCTGGAAAATGGAGTAAGGAAACAGCAGATGTGACTAGACAGGATGCGGTGGCTGGTATCACTTTGATTTGTTAAATTTAGAGAGGGAGATTGAGAGAGAGAGAGAGAGAGAACAGAATCTTTTTAGAGAATTTAGAGAATAAAAAACTTTTTATTATTTTAAAATATAGTGCATAGGTTCAGTATGTCATCCATATATAGCTGTAGATACACATACACTTAGCGGAAACTATTCCCTAGGATTATAAGTGATGCTTCCTAGACAATAATAACCATGAAACAAATCAATGTAGCACGTGATAAATGAACCCCACAGACTTCTAACAATGACAAAACCACACCCAAATTGCAAAAACTTATTAGCATCTTAACAAGCTGAGACAATTTTGTTACTAGTACATCAACATTCCAATAGGAGTAACAACACAGGAACCAAATAGATGCCACCATAAGTTCAAACTTTAAAGTTAAAAAGAGGGAAGAACAAATCAATACCAAGTGAATCTGCAAGCAGTTTTGTTAGCAACGAATTTTCGTAAGGAACAATATCCTTCTTAGATGTTAAAGAAGACAAAACATCTCCCAACCTGCATATTCATTTTAAAAATCCAAAGTGTTAGACAATAAATTTTTCACTGCACCACATTCGTTCCACTAAACTTGCCCAAAACAAAAGTTCAATATGAATGAAAACATAAAATTATATATATTACAAGAAAAAGGCAAGAACATATGAGAGGAGTTAAGGAAAATCAAATTACATTTCATTTTTTGTAGATATCAATAAGTGTTATCTATGCAAGGTTCAATACAGGACACAGTACAAGACCAGGTTCAAGTATGACACTATGGTTGTCCCATCATCTTCCTTGAAGTAAAAGGTTAATCGGAAACCCTCACCTAATCATCATTATGCTAAATCTGGACTGTTAATATGTTAGGATTCTTTGATAGAAAGGAACACCAAGAAATACAGAACAGAAAAAGAAGAAAATAGTGCCTCTGTATTAGTTAGTATCAGTAAACCTGTAACGAATGTACACAATGTACTCAAAGGAGCCCTCTCCTTTGACACTGGAACTCCCAGTCGCCTAAAACATAAAATTCCTCCTTAACTCTCCAATTAGAGAGTTATTTATAGTAACCAAAATCAGCAACTGTAACTGACCCTTTGCACCTTATTTTTTTGAAATACATTCATAACAGATTCCTAACTACTAATTCACTCTTTTATTCTTCCTCCTATAATAGACTTGTAGGGTTTTTCTTTGGGTTTCATTCTCGGGCCTATCAATACCCTCCCCCTCCAAAACAACCTTGTCCTCAAGGTTGAACTCCGGAAATTGGTTGTTGATAGTAGTGGCGTCTTCCCACGTAGCTTCCTCTGATGACCTATCCTTCCATTGCACCAAAACCTACTGACTCTGATCACCATATTTTGTAATCACACGGCTGCCCAAAATTTGCTCTGGTTGATACCCTGTGGTTGTTCGCTCAAGCTCTGTTGGAAGCCCAGATTCTACTGTATGATTTCCCACTGCCCTTTTAAGCTGAGACACATGGAAAACTGAGTGGATTCTTGCTTGCTCCAGTAGCTTCAGCTGAAAGGCTACTGTACCTATCTGTTTCAAAACCAAATACGGACCATAGTAACATGCTGACAATTTAGGATGAAGTCTTGTTGGCATTGAAACTTGTCTGTGTGGTCGAATCTTGAGGTAAACCCAATCCCCTGGTTGTATTTTAGCTGGTCTTCTCCTAGCATTCGCATAGTGGATCATTTGATCTTGAGCTCTCCCCAAATGATACTTTAATTGCTTTAGAGCTTCATCCCTGTCTCTCAGGTCTTGAGCTACTGCTTCTACCAAAACTTCCCCCGGAATAAATCTGGCTAACGAAGGGGGTGGTCTACCATATACTATCTCGAAAGGGGTGCTACGTGAAGCACTTTGGAAACTGGTATTATACCAATATTCTGCCCAAGGGATGAACTCTGCCCAAATTTTAGGTTGTTCAGAGCTGAAGCAACGAAGATAAGTTTCTAAGGTTCTGTTTAGCACCTCCGTTTGGCCATCGGATTCCGGATGATAAGCTATACTCATCTTTAATTGAGTCCCTTGCAATCTGAACAACTCCTGCCAGAAATGACTGACGAATGTAGGGTCTCGATCGCTAACAATTGAAGTTGGAATTCTATGTAGTCTCACCACCTCTCGAATAAACACCTCTGCTACCGATCAAGCCAAATACAGATGTTTAAGTAATATAAAGTGCCCATACTTGCTCAATCTATCAACAACTACCAAAATTGCATCAAAACCTTTTGATTTAGGCAATCCAACAATAAAGTCCATGCTGATGTCCTCCCAAATGGCATTTGGAATAGGCAAGGGCTGCAGTAAACCAGCTGGACTTGAGGCCTGATATTTGCTGCGCTGACATATATGACATGCTACCACAAATTGTGTCACTGTACCCTTCATTCCTATCCAAAAAAGTGACTGGGCCAACCGACGATAAGTCCTGAATACTCCCGAATGTCCTCCAATGGGAGAAGAATGAAACTCTTGTAAGAATCTTGGGATCTAGCTGGAAGATGCTGCCAACACTAATCTTCCCCGATGATACAATCTTTCATGTTCCAAGGTATATTGAGGATGAGAATCCGGATCATGTTTCAGATCCTCAATTATTTTAGCCAAAATAGGATCCCTCTTTACTTCCTCATCAATCTCCGTGATATCTTGCCAATAGGGCCTGAAAACTAATTGCAATTCCTTCTCCTCATTCTGCCTTGAAAGTGTATCAGTATCAGCCACTCTATTTGCAGCTCCAGTTTTATACACAATTTCAAATTCGTATCCCAACAGCTTAGCCAACCAATTTTGTTGATTTTGGGTCGTAATTCTTTGCTCCAATAAATGTTTCAAACTCTTTTGATCCGTGAAAACAGTGAACTTCTATCCGAGCACATAAGGTCTCCAATGTTGAATGGCCAACACTAGAGCCATTAACTCCTTCTCATACACTGATTTGGTAAGGGATGCCTCCCCCGAAGCTTTGCTGAAAAATGCTATAGGCCTCTTGTTTTGTGTCAACACTGCTCCTATCCCTTTTCCTGAAGCATCACATTCAATAGAGAAGGGTTGAGAAAAATCGGGCATAGCTAAAACAGGAGCCGAAGTGACAGCCTGTTGCAGTAGCCTAAACGCCAAGGTACTGTCTTCCTTCCATGCAAAATTTCCCCTTTTTAGCAAGTCGGTTAAAGGCCTGGCTATTTTTCCATAATTGCATATGAAGCGGCAATAATATCGGGTAAGGCCCAAAAATCCCATGAGCGCCTTGATAGATTTTGGAATAGGCCATTGTAGTATAGCTTCAACCTTTTGAGGATCCATAGAAACCCCTGCTTTAGAAACTATATGTCCCAAATAACTCAACTCCATCTTACCAAATCCACATTTCTTTAGATTGGCCAAAAAACCGTGTTGTTCCAGAATATGCAGTACCTTCTTTAGATGCTACAAATGATCCTCCCAAGACTTGCTATACACCAATATATCATCAAAGAACACCAATACATACCTCCTTAGGAGGGGTCCTATTATGGCATTCATGGCACATTGGAAAGTTGCTAGGGCATTAGTTAATCCAAATGGCATTACTAAAAACTCATAATGCCCTTGATGGGTACGAAAAGCTGTTTTCGGAATATCTGCCTTGTACATTCTTATCTGGTGGTAGCCAACCTTCAAATCAATCTTAGAAAAATATGCAGCCCCATTCAACTCATCGAGAAGTTCTTAAATCATGGGAATAGGAAACTTATCCGGAATTGTAGCCTTGTTCAAAGCCCGGTAATCCACACAGAACCTCCAGCTACCATCTTTCTTTTTTACCAAAATCACCGGACTTGAATATGGACTGTTGCTCGGTCTAATAACCCCTGTAGATAACATCTCAGCCACTTGCTTCTCAATTTCGTTTTTCTGTATGTGAGGGTATCGATAGGGTCTAACACTTATAAGATCCCAGCCTTGATTGGAATTTTGTGATCAATTTCTCTATGAGGTGGTAACCCTACCGGTTTAGCAAAAATATGACCAAATTCTTCTAACAATTTTTGCAGTTGATCTCCCATTGACACAGGCAGATACTCATTCTTTCTCTCCTCTTTTTCCACAACCCACAACATTAACATGCCTGCTACTTCACCTTGTGACAGTTTAATCAAGGACTTCATAGAGATAACTAATTTAGCTAAGCTTGGATCCCCTTGTATCTGAACGTTCTATCCTTGATCTACAAAATCCATGCTCAAAGTCTTCCAATTCACTTTTACCTCCCCCAAAGTAGCCAACCAAGTCACTCCCAAAATCACGTTCATGCCTCCTAAGTCAAACAGAAAAAATTCTTCAGATAATTCATAATTTCCCATGTGTACCTTCAAGTTTTTGCAACGCCCCTGGGTCTTTTTTCTTTTCCCATCTCCCAGCCTCACTTGGTATGGTTCGGTTGATTCCACCTCCAATCCCAATTTCTGTACCAATTGGCTGGAAATAAAATTGTGACTGGCTCCACTATCAATTAAGATCAGCACTTCCTTGCCCTGAATGGTTCCTTGAAGTTTCATGGTTTGAGGTTGGGTCCATCCTCCAGCTGAACACATGGACAGGTCCATCCATTGGCACACCGCTTCTAGCTCTTCTCCTCCTTCTTCCTCTATCGCCTCCTCGTGTTCAGCTCCAATTTGTTCTTCCTCAGCCAAAATTAATACCCGCAAATTCTTCTCCGAACAGCGGTGCCCTGGTCCATATGCTAGTCCACAACGAAAACACCTGCCCTCCTCTCTCCTTTTCACATATTCAGGATAAGATAGGTTCCTTGTTCCTCCATTTCTTGACCACGAATTTACACTTTTGCCTAGCGACCCATTCCATTAGACGTTTGAGAATTACTCACTCCTCCAATGCCCACTCACGACACAATTCCCCCTCTTGTTTGGTATCGCGAACTTGCATTTTGACAGTTAAAAGAACCCCTGTATGTTCGCGCTTCTTTCATTGCCTCTTCCACATCACATGCCACCTCCATGGCACGAGATATCTTTTCGTAGTCCTGCTAGGAAATAACCCAGCAATTGATCCTCTGGTGTTGAAACTGCTTGTGCCACCAACAGTTTGAATTCTTGCACATAGTCTTCCACGCTCGAAGTCTGTCTTAGTGCTGCCAGCCTTTCATACACCGTGCTACGACCGTTTCCACCAAACCTTCTTAACAAAGCTATCGAGAACTCTTCCCAAGAAGGATTCTTGGACTTCTGTCGCCAAAATTGGAACTAGTGAACAGCATTCCCTTCCATACTTATGAATGCTAGACGCAGTTTCTCTGTAGGTTTGACTTGTTGTGCTTCAAAAAAAATTTCTGCCCTAGCTATCCATCCCAGCGGGTCACATCCTTCAAAAGTGGGTAATTCCACTTTTTTCATCCAAGAATGACGCATTCCACCATTCTCTCCTTCCGATGACTCTCCTCCCTCCTTCACTTCAGACATATTCCCATTGTTGACTGAATCATTCTCCCCTTCCTCAGAAATTGGATCTTTCTTCTTATTCATACACTCAAGAATTAGTTCCTTAATTTGTTTCATGTCTGGCATGTTATCTTTGATGTAACTGATGCCTCGTTTCAACTCCGCTAATTTCATTCCTTGTTCGCTGGTCAACTTCTCCAAATTCCCCACTCGATTTTCCATCTCGTTCTTGAATGGATCCGGTAGGTCGGACCAATTTGTTAGGATCCTTTCTTTGATAGAAAGGAACACCAAGAAATACAGAACAGAAAAAGAAGAAAATAGTGTCTCTGTATTAGTTAGAATCAGTAAACCTGTATCGAATGTACACAATGTACTCAAAGGAGCCCTCTCCTTTTACACTGGAACTCCCAGTCGCCTAAAACATAAAATTCCCCCTTAACTCTCCAATTAGAGAGTTATTTATAGTAACCAAAATCAGCAACCGTAACTGACCCTTTACACCTTATTTTTTTAAAATACATTCATAACAGATTCCTAACTACTAATTCACTCTTTTATTCTTCCTCCTATAATAGACTTGTAGGGTTTGCTTTTGGGTTTCATTCTTGGGCCTATCATAATATGCTGTATTGAAGCTGTAATATCCGGTTTACTGTTGATAAGGGAATTAAGTAACATTAACATATAAGTATATAACCCAAACATAAATGAAATGCAAACCCACATCTATTACAAGTAGACTAAGTATCTAAACATTATTTCCCCAAGCAGAAACAAAATTAACAATATGGTTGGCTACCTTAGTAACATTTGCAACAAGTAATGAAAACTGATAAATCACCAAATCAAGGACAACAGAAAATACTTGAAGTGGATTGATACATAAAGACATGGATGGGCAAACACCTGGCAACAATTAAGTAAATATGGATAAATTTGATAATGAAGAGAAAAATAAGGCATTGAAATCACATACGCAGAAAGTGACTTCATAACATGGAGCAAATCTGTGACACGCTCACCACTATCGTCTTCTGTTATCAAACCTTCACTTCCAGCTAAGTCAACCAGATAGAGTTTACTATATGAGTTCTCACCAGTGATCAAATTGTTATAAAATATGTGTATCGTGACAATCCTGACACAGAAAGACATGAAATCCAAAGAGCTGAATTAGCCTACAGCAGTCACAAAATCTGGCAACACACCCACAGAAATATCAAAACAGTAACAGCTGCAAAAATAAACTTAAAAAAAAATGAAAGAACAATCTTCTTTCTGATAATAGAATATCATAGTGATACAGCATTACAGCTAACAGAACAAATTATTTACACTGTTTCTAGTATGAAACTTTAAAAGCATAAAACAAAGTGAAAACATGGCATTTTTGTAATTATTTATGAAAACAAAAGCAAAAATAGACAATGTCTTCTCAAACCAAATAGACCCTAATATTTTCTGCTTCCTGTTGTTATTTACGGGTCATATTAAAGAAGAAAATGGCCAAATATATATGAAAAAGGATCCATTTACTCCAAGAGTAACTCTTAGTAGAGATACTTCATTTAATAACACACAGTTTGCATTGAATTTCAACGATCCAACCATTAAAATTTGTTTATGGATAGATCAAGTCTACAAATTTTTGCAAAGTTTGAAATTTGTGATACTTCATTATATAGATTCAAATTAATATATAATATTTTTATGAATATCCATTAATTTGAATTAATGTATTAAAGTAACAAATAATTTTCAAATTTTGTAAAAAATTTGTTTGCTTGATCTATTTATTAAGATCTTTTAATGTAACAATTGGATCATTAAAATTCAATATAGACCATCAGGTCTTGAATGGAATAACTCTACTAAAATTTACTCTTAAAATAAGTAAATCCTTCCCTTATATACATATATATATATATATAGGGGAAGGATCTACTTATTCTAAGAGTTTAGGGTTTATATATGTGTGTGTGTGGACATTTCTAGTGAGAGCATAAGAGTAAATCTTAGTCATATAACCATACATGGTTGGTCAAGATTGTATTAATTAGTTTTGATCTTAACCATCCATATGAATTTAATGGTTAAGATTTGCTCCTCTTGTGCAGTCATCTCTAACTTGATATGCTTCCAAGATATATAAATCCCACAAAGCAATCTTCCATATTGATCAGAACAGCAACATTGGAACAATATATGCTATCAAAAGCAGTCTATCATGTAACTTAAAATGTCACAAACACACAATTATATATATCGTGGTATATTACATCCCACAGAGCAATCTTACATTTGTGTATTGATCTCAACAGCTACATTGGTAAAAGTACGCAATCAAAAGAAGCTTATCATGCAACTAAAAATGACATAAATTAAACCACTTTTAACATAACTCCATATAATGTAGGCAAAGAATTTAGGCCGTACAAATGAGATACATTATTCTTTAATAAATCATTTTCTCGAGTCTGCAATGCAGTCTTTAAAACAGCAGAAAACTCAAGAGGGTTATCAACTTTTTCCTGCACCAATTCTACAAAGCATTCAGGTGATCCCAAGCAGAGTTTAGGTGCACTTTTCCCCGACTCCAAAAGTAGATCCCTTGTCTGAAAACACATAAAAGGAAATAAGAAAATTTTACTAACCTTAGTGAACACTGAATAGAAAATTGGGATGGACACTAGAAACACAACAGGAAGGGTGTATGTGAGTGAAAACAGAGACCTGTTCATTATATAGCTCACAAACTGTGACGCAGAATTTATATTGAGAAGTAGAGGTTGTATCCAAATTGGCTAAATCAAACAACTCCTCAAAACAACGGGCATATAAACCTCGATCATAGCTTGATCCTTCCTGGGAGTAATGAATAAACATAAAAAAAAATACAATTGTTTAGGCCAATCATTATTGACTTAAGAGAAAAAAGAACGTGTAAACATAGTTCATCCATAGGGCAGCCACTTCATTTTCAATTGTTAAGTAATACTGAATTTGAGACTCTCTTCCAGGTTCCAACTCCTTTTTTATTTTATTGTATTCTATTTGAAAGAGGAAGTGACTTGTGCACATAGTCACACACAGCAAAAGAAAGAAAGAACAACCATAGTGTATGTCTTCCCAGAGTGAGTTTGCCCATATGCAAATATGGAAACATTATATCCATCCAAAGCTGACTGCACTAGTGGTTGAGCATCAGTGAATAACTCAGCTGCAAACAGAAAATCAAAGACATGACAAATAATCAACATAGTACATATCAAAGACTGTTTGAACTTAGGATAGACAGTATAAAGGATAAAACCATTTTACCTTGACCAACATGAGGTCCATAAACTCGGTCAAATTCAAAATCTTTCTTGGCATTAGATAAGGATTCATCACCAGTATTTACACGAATGGTATGGTCATCTGGAAATTCAACAACTGAAGGACCTTCATCTTCAAATAATGGCCTTGTTCGACAGAATACTCGTATGTTTCCTGCAAATAATATTAATTATTGGAAAGATGTTTCCAACTCAGAAAAGCTTATGTATGAGTATGCTGAAATAATAGGAAGGTTATGTATTCAGTTAGCTTCAGTAAAGAGTGTGTTTGGGACACCAAAAAAGAGTGGATATGAAGAAACTGCATGGTACTATAGGAAAACCTACACATAGAAACTACCTTTAGATGTTAATAATTCGTTGAATAATCTTCTTTTCTCATTGATCACTGGAGATATTCTTGCTTCAGTTTCAAGGGCAATTTGATCTGAAATTCACAGGTAGACCACAAATTTCAAAATTTAGTGACAGAACCAACAGTACAATAACTCCACACAAAAAATAATAGTGTACCATAGTTTAAACAGGGAAACCTCCCTTTCCCCTAAAATTTTTGGGTACCAGAAACAAAAATAATAGAAAAAATTTTGCTTAGGTTCAAGAAACTAAATGCTAACAGTGCCTATGTTATTGTGGTAGCATATATCAGACCTTGTAACTGTGAAAAACGTGACTCTCATTTCCCAACCCAACATGAGGTTAAAGTATGAGTCTTATGTTGTCAGTGAAATTATGTATTTCATTCAACCAAAAGAATTTATAGGACAAATATCAATATTCCAAAACCTTCAGCTCATTTCAGCATGAGCACCAAGAGTCAAGGTAAATTAGTTTCTTACCTAGCTTGCGGGTTTTCTCTGCAAGAACACCAAGATATCTTGTAACTCGATCAAGTTTTGCATTTGAATATTCTTGAAGTTCACTTGCTTCTTGTCTTAATTGCAAATAGTCTTCTCTAGCAAGCTGTGCAAAATATCTTATGTGATTGTTAACATGTGACTAAACTGAAAATAACATGATCCAAAACAATTGCAAAGGATACCACATAAAAAATAATAACTCAAACCATCCAGAAGACAGGCCAATAAGAATGAGCAAGTACTTTAAAATTTTAAATAGTATAGAAGACATTCCATTCCATACATGCACATCTTCTAGCCATCTTATTTTCTCTTGATAAATGGTAGCATGTAGTCTTAAAATGTGGATTTGAAATTTTGAATTTAACTCAATCCTACAAAACCAACTTGTAAGTTGAGAGTTGTTCCTTACTTATATGCAATATTTAGGTCATATCACTAGTGCATGTAGGATCTCTAACAGTTTGAACATAACACCAAACTAGCTAAATCCCTTTATCATCACAATCCATGACAGAAAGAGATTTTCAATATGCAACTCTATATACTAGAATAGTAGAATCATTTGATAACATATGAATCTAATCACTTAGCTTATACTTGTTAGATAACATATATGAGAAACAAACAAAATTAGACCAATCTAGGACTACTTTTCAAATGGGTACAATCAGTACTATGTTTTCATACAACAACAATTCATATTATAAAAATGTGCCACCACGTTTTTAGAATCTCCAACTTAACTCCTGGTTCCATCCAAATTTCTTCCTAAGCCGAATTCTCCTTGCTCTTATCATACTATTCTAAAAAACTTACTCAAAAGCATCTTAAGCCAGAATTCAAAAGATTGACACCGCTAGAGCACCCCATTTTGTCGTCTTCATCACAGAATCACCAAGTACTATAAACAATACAAACAGGAATAACCCTCCCAGTAATTAATTAAAGTTCACAAGAGGACCATGGAGAACACAACCATCATTCATTCAAATCAAAGCTCTCATGTAACTGAGAACATCCTATAACACACAACTCTGAAAGAAACCCTATTCAGCTTCCGATACAACGTCAGCATAGTAGGTTGAGATTCTACAAAGCCTCCAAACTGATCTCGCGAACCAACAATAGCCTACTTCACAGTTCACAACCGTACACGTACCCTTTCTCTCGAATTCACGCGCTGAAACCACTCATATAAACGACAACGCAACACGCAACAGCGGAAACAAGAGCTGAAACGTCCTCATTGCGAACGCCAGCGATGAAGAAACCACCGGAAACACTTTCCGGATTCAGACGAAAAAGAAGTGAGCTAAAACGACGCCGTTGCGAAGAAGAAAAATAAGCTATAAAAAGGTTAGAAATGGCGACGAAAACGCATTACCTTGACTTTGTCCTTCAACCGCTGAAGCTTGGAGGACACAGAGTGCTTAGGTTGTGGAATAACCGACGAGGCCGAAATGGAGTACCTCCGCACCAACGGCGCACTAGGTCTCCGATCGCCGTGCTCAACCGGCGGCGAGGGCGACGAAGACGGCGGCGACGACTTCCACGGGTCGAAGCCGGCGACGTCCCAGCTCCACCGGTTCTTTTGCTCCGCCATAACTATTTTCCAATCACACTTTGGCTTCTTCTCTCCTCAGATTTCGAATTTGAAATGAAAAAGTGATGCGGAATGGAATATGAATAATTTAATGCAAATAAATACGAGGAGCTTTATGGTTTTTATCATTTCTGGCTGTGCCTTTTTGGTTTGGTTTTGGGCTGCGATAATGAATGGAGGGAGAAGGCGGTTTTGGTTTGGCAGAGTGGGACGGCGTCGTTTTGAGGTGCGTGAGAGTGAGACAGTGTGTTGTTGGGCTTTTCTGGCTCACATAATATTTTGTGCCTCTTGTTTGTTCAAACTTCGCTCTCAGTCTCTCACTTACTTATTGCTCTGTCTTAAGAGTTTGGTTTTTTTTAGATAAGGCAAAGCACGTGAAGGATCGCTCTGCTTGGCTTCACCTTCACGTAAAATTCGGCTTCCCAAAGTTTTTGGTTTTTTTCCTTACCTCTTTAAACTCGTAAGACATAACTTATCTCTCAAGGTATTTAAGCAAAAAATCTAACTACAATGTTTATAAATATTTTCAGAGACAATGAATCAAATAAAATTATTATATACCACAAAGTTCTATTTTTAATATTTAATATAATTATATGTTTAAAATACAAATTTGAGTTCATTAATTAAGTTAAATTTGTAACCATTGATCTATATACTCGTTATTAAATCTAAAAGCAATCTTAAATCTTTATTATAAGCCATGAATTATTTAAGGTCCAAAAAAATTATAACTCATAAACAATCAATCATTGTTAACTTTAGTTGTAAGTTAATATTTTTATACACTTTTTAATATATATATATATATATATATATAATATATATGTAGTTTTACACTTATAATTACTCTTTTGTAAATTGTTATTTTTTTTATTTTTCACCAAGGGATGTGTGTTGGATTGTTTCAAAAGATTTTTTTATTATAAAAAAATTTTGTAACATTCAATTAAGACTTTTTTTAATATAAATAGTCATGTAAAATCAAAAAACGTTCTTGAATCTCTCAAGAGACTATAATGTTTCAATGATAACAAATAATATTTTTTTAGGAAAATTATTTCAAACGAAACAAACATCATATTTCATCTGTAAGACAAAATACAGCAAACGAAACACACAATCTAAATTAATACTATATTTATTTCTTGTTATGAATTCATATTATCTTTTAAGAGTATTGAATACTTTATTCCTTAAAAAATTGAATGGAAAAATTTTCTCGAAGACATCAAAAATTGTCAAATATGGAAAGTCAAATCCTTGTGTCAAAAAGAAAGAGAAAGATCTCATAAATCATGAAAAAATAGACAGGAACTCTAAACACGCCGCACTGCTCTGAATTTAGCTACTACTTTTTGCCTCACCTAAACGAAACGATGATAAGTAGCTAACAAGATCAGATAAGAGATGGACATTTTCATGCAAAGCATTAAATGCTTGCAGCAACGGCTAATTTACTCTCTCTCTCTCTGATCTCGAAGAGAAGAATAGACGAAGCATGCTAAGAAGATTGCTCAACAATCATCTTCTCTGAAACTACTATAAAAGGATCAATCTTCAAACAACGACTAGGGTGTGCAACAACATAAATAAAAAGATCAATACTTATTGAGAAATATGCATATTACAAAGAAGCTATTCAATTTTTGTAGATCATGTACATAATTCTTTGTAGACTATTTGCACTTAAATTTCACAGCATCACGTCTAGAAGAGACGAAGCTATATTTGTAACTCTTTTCAAATTTATTTGTAAGGGTTGAGCTTAGAGAGGCTTGTTGAAAGAATATTTAGTGTTTGGGCCTAAAGTGGCTTGGTTGAAAAGAATACCTAGTGTTAAGCCTAGAGAGACTTGCTGAAAGAATACTTAGGTAGTTGCTTGAAGAGGCAAGTCAAATACTACTTAGGTTTGAGTTAGAAGTGGCTTGTTGAAAGAATATTTACATCTTGAAAAATATAGTGGAACTCAATCTGGTTTGATTAAGAACTGGACCTAGTCTTTGTGTTTGAGACGAACCAGTATAAAAGATTTATGTTCTTTTGTCTAATTACTTTCTAATACTTTGTTTGTCAAAGTTTCTACTACTTCACTACACTTCAAAAGCGCGAGTTTTTTATATATATTATTCAACCCCCTTCTAGTGTGTATCTTTTTTCTCCAACAATTGGTATTAGAGCTCAACCTTTAACGAGGTTGAACATCTAATAGTGTTAAAGGAAAAGATCCAGAATAGAAAGTAGTGAAGGACAATATTTGCCATAAGGAGCCTCTCACACAAGGCCTCCAACCTTTAATGGAGAAGACTACCCCTACTAGAAGGATAGGATGGAGATGTTCATCAAGTCCACCTAGTACCAACTTTGAAAAATCATCACGCGAGGAGATATAACAATCATGAAGCCTGAGAGCCAGTAATCTCAAGAAGATTACAATACCTTGCAGCAAAATACTAAAGCAAGATATATACTTGCTTGTTCCCTATTCAGAACTGAGTACAATAAGTTCTGCAACCGCTCTACTACAAAGAAAATGCGGGATGCCATCAAGGTAACTCATGAGGGCACTGAGGATGTCAAACTCAAATGAGCTACCACTCTTTAGAGGCATTATGAGTTGTTCTCTATGAAGGAGAACAAAACCATTGATGAAATGTTTGGAAGATTCCAAATAATTCTAAATGGGTTAAAGTCCCTAGGAACTGAGTTTTCAAAAGCCCAAAACAACTTGAAGATCCTGGACAACCTACCCAAGATTTGGGAGCCAAAAGGCACAACCATTGCTGAAGCACGAGATCTTAAAGTTCTCACTCTTGACAAACTTCTTGGAGCTATTTGAGTTCATGAGATTCATCTAAAAAATAAAGAACACCCTAAAGAAAATGACACCATTGCTTTAAAGGGTGGTGGTTCTAGCAAAAAGAGAGAAAAAGGAAAAGAGCTAAAAGTTGAGTTTAAATTAGGTTCAGATGAATGTTCTAAAGACTCAACAGACGATGGAATTTCTCTCATGTTCAAGAAGTTCAAGAACATGTTAAAAAAGAAAGGAAGGTTGAGGACCTTCCACATAAAGAAAAAGAGATCCAAGAAGCCTGGATCCCCTTGAGAGTAAGGATGTTACTTGTTATGAATGCAACAAACTCAAACACGTAAAGTCAAAATGTCCCTCTCTCAAGAAAAAGTGGTCAAACAAAAAGAAGACCAAAAGAAGTTCGATGCCCACCTAGGAAGATCTTGAAAGCATTAGTTCAAATGGAGAATTAGCTAACATATGTCTTATGGTAAACGTTGAGTCAGATGCAACCGACATAGAGGTAAACTCTAACTCCAATTCATATTCATTTGATTCTAATAGTGATGAGATGTCTTTTGAGACTCTTTTAGCCAACTTTAACATGATTTCTCTTGAGTATAAGAAGCTTAAAGAAAAATATAAAGCTTTAGAGAAGGAAAATCTTAAACTCAAAAGAAAAATGTCAGATGATGTTGAAGAAATATTAAGTCTCGAAAACAAGATTGTTAGTTTTGTTCCTCCTGAAATAGAAGTCTTGAAAAATGAAAATATTCAATTCAGGAAGGACTTAATGAAGTTTGTAGATGGATCTTCTAAATTGAATATGCTTCTAAAACATAAAAGGCTACCATCTGACAAAAGTGGTATTAACTTCGAGTCTAACTCAAAAACCTTTTCAAAAAAGCCCAAGTCTACCTTCTATGCTAATAAAAAGGGAGCAAAAACTCCCAGCAGACAAAAGGGACAATCTAAGGCTAGTGGGACTAACTTAAAAGGACCTAAGAAAATTTGGGTACCAAAATAAAAAATTATTCCCATTACAAATCTTCTTAGTAGAAAAAAGGAAGGATTCAAGTTAATACCTGGATAGTGGCTACTCACGACACATGATGGAAGAAAGGTCTATGTTCCTAAACCTCAATCACGTGAAAGGGTTTGTGTCTCTTGAATGAAACAAAAGGTATTGGTAAATCAGATCAAGCAAAAAGGTAAAGGCACACACAGAGGAACTTCTTGAGAAGATCAGAATGAGAAATTACAAATATATGCCTACATCCATATGAAAAGATCATCAAAAGATGAATCAGACTATGCAGGATCTGACAACTTAATTTTAATTGATGAGCAATCACTTTGTCTGTCATGGTATCGTCTATAGTTTACATTACATATGTTAATAGATTCATCTGTATTTCATTAATCTATTTATTATGATTAACATTTCATTGTGAGTCTGAGAAAGGTAACATATACATTAAAGAGCATTAAATGCTATCAATCATAAATGCCTTGAAGGAAGGAAAAAGTAACATGTGGAGACATGAAGTGACAGTTACACGTCATGTTGTAATACATTAGCCTACATACTTACCACGATTGTTATGATGCCCAGTCCCTCTCTTCTACGATCCTAAGTTTTCAAAACTACCTTTTTTTAGTTTTATACTTACTTTTTCAAATTCTCTCAACCCACTACTATTCATCTTCCACAACCTCCCAAATCTTTAGAAACCCTAAAGCTCTTTTAGAACCCCAAATGGCACCAAAGCTGACTTCATCCGAAAAGAAAGTACCCATGGAAGCATACCCAAAATCTTTCTTCCTCCTTGGGAAGACCATTGATGTGAAGAAAATGCATGATGAAGGTTTTCTGGTGAAGCATTATCTAGACAATGTTGGATGGATCGCCTTCGCTGAAATGAAGTGCGACTGGTTTCATGCCCCTAATGCTAATTTATGGGCATCAATGTCCCAAGAACCAAATGCCATCACTGAAACCATGGAGAACCTAACTATTATAATCAATCCTTTAATCATCGCCACCATCTCCGGATGCAAAGAAGAAGGAGAAATCTATTATGGCAATTGGTAATCTATCATCACCCAAGACATTATAAATGCCCTAATCTATAATAATAGGCCTCACCCATTTGACCAAGCCTCATCGACCCATGAAGCTAAAGTTGAGGCCACGAATATTGATGTTCCATCTGCTTTTGTGCAAACTGGTCAACTTTTTCCTAACCTTGTGGAACTTGTTCGTATCAAGCCCACACAAGACATTTTCACAAAGGTTGTGATAAATGCAGTCTCCATCAATGTTAACTTCTCAATGGTGGAGGTAGATGAAAGAAAACCTAAATATTTTGATTAGTCTGCTCCTCTATCTGAACAAGTTGGCATTGAAAGCATATACTCGGAGGACAGAAGGGCATTAAAACATCTTAAGGAATGTTAGAATCCAAAAAAAAATTGATCTAGCCCATAGATGGTTTGGACTTT